AATACTTTATAACATTTGAAAGAAAATAAAGATACCACCTCATCCTGGGTATGACAATAAACTACATCTGTGTCCTGGGTAAGACAATAAACTACGTCCAACAGCAAGGCCTCTGATCAGGAGGCTTTGAGAAGCGTGGAACCACGTCTTGATTGCTGATGTTCCCAGGTATACCCTGACCCGGGGTGGTATCACCTGTTAGGGTCCCATCTATGGGCAAATAGTTAACCCTGAAACTGAGGTAAAAGCCATTATAAAAGTGTAAAAATAGGTTTTAATGCCAGAAATACTTTGTAAAAAATTATTATCAGAAATAAATTTTTGAAGAAAAAAATCTCTCACCAGCAATACATTTTTGAAAATAATATTACCAGCTCTACATTTCTGAGGAAAAAATATTACCAGCTATACATTTTTGAGAAAAAAATATTACCAGAAATAAATTTTTGACAAAACAAAAATATTACCAGGAAAAAAAAATTGTCAGCATTAAATGACCCACTGTGGTTGATATGCTGTAAAACAATTTAAACCAAACCAAGATACCTTCAGCTTGTTGAATATTTGTTATTTTTGTATATCAAAACAAAATTTTAGTGAGCTATTTTAGTGAAACACTGCATCTTTTAATTGGTTGTATTTTCATGTTTAGTATGCTTGTATTTTCATGTTTAGTATGCTTGTATTTTCATGTTTAGTATGCTTGTATTTTCATGTTTAGTATGCTTGTATTTTCATGTTCAGTATGTTTGTATTATGGGGATGTGACTGATGTACCCATTAAGCAAATACTTAACATCAAATAAGGTGGTTAATGGGTGGTGTTAGTTTGATTCTGACATTTCAGTAAGTAACAGGTCTTAAAATGGTGTTTCATCTATTTTGATCAAGTAACTATGTATGAGTATTGGTACTTTCTTATGGTGTCATCTTTCCTTTCATCCATTTTTATCTACATCCTTCTGCAAGAAAAACTATACTTTTGTTAACTTTTAAATTGAATTTATTTATTTCAATTAAGATTAAATATAGAAAAGAGGGACAACTTTGGTATTTTAATACACATCTATTCAACCTTTAGAGCGAAGCAATCATGAGAGAACTAGTGTTCCTAACAGGATTTATTATTGCAGATGCAATCTTAGCATAAAATATGCAGATGATGCAAAGGAAGCTGAAAATCTCCTACAGAAGCAAGGAAAAGAAATTGAGAACAACTTTAAGATGGCAGAATGCATGTTTGTTAGCAAGATCAACAGCCCAAGATGCAAACTATGAAATGGAGATGTGAAAATCAAGCAAATAAATATTTGCAAAATGTTCTAACAGATGAAAATGTGACACCAAAATCTGAAGATGATAGGAATAGTGATAGATGCTACCTTCTTAAAGCTAGGCAAAGTGTTATAGTGGAACACACGTATTCTATAGTTAGTAGACTCCCCCACCTATAATAAGTAGGAGTTGCTCAGTGGTCAGTTAGTCGATGCCGGATGACCATTAGTCTGATACTAAAGTATGAGCGACCACAACTAGATTTTCTCTGCATCATACCTATTATATGAAGTTCCTAACGTTTTGTACATTGAACCTTTTTTAGGACCAACTTAGTACAAATACAAGCTTCCACTGTGAAATCACTCCATAACACAAAGTATTAAGAAACAGGAGAATTTCAAAAGAAACAAAGAAAAGAATGCTGAATTGTTATGTAATATTTCTCTTCCTATATCAGTGAATGTTGGAAATTTGTGTAGTGAGGAAGAGGAAATGTGAAGCAACAGAAATGTGGTTCTACAGAAGGATGTTGAGAATACTAGGGACTGAGCATATAAGTAATGAGAAAGTTCAAAGGAAAATGGAAACAAAAAGGATACTTTTATTTAAAATCAGAAATAGACAATTGAAATTTCTTAGACACGCAATGAGTGAAAAAGTCTTGGAAAATCAGCATATATTCAAAGTGGGAAGGACAGTTAAGTAGTGAGGTAACCTACCTAATGAACTTGTGTACCCTACAGTTGAAAATTTTGAGGCCAACTCTGGCAATTTTTTTTAAATTGGCCCCAAAAGTAGTTTTGTACTTTAAAATAGAGGCAATTATTATACATGGTTAAAAAAAAGTGAGACATGATTTTTATTAGAAATTTTATTATGATGATAAGAAAAATAGCATTTTATGATTAAATTTTGCTCTTGCCCAAAATATCTTCATTTAACCTTGATTACTGCAGCACAAATTTTTGGCATTCATTGCAAAAGTTTGATAATTGATTCCATTCTTTTTTCAATGACTCTAAGAGCTCTATTTATTTATTTATTTATTTATTTTTTTCATTCTTCTGTCAAGTTCATCCCATGCAAATTCTGGGGGTGACTTCAAACTTTTGAACTGTCATGTAAATGCTTACCAAAACACGTTAAGGGAGGGATAACAAAAATACAGATATTGCTAAAAGCTACAGTTGTGGAGAGCCAAGATCACCTAAGTCCTGAAGGAACATGAAATATACAAGTACTAAAATACTTCCAAAATTTTAATAAACACCACCACATACTAAACCTAATAGCATCTTGGATTTTGGTACTACCCACCTCTTAAACTGGTACAAGACTATAAACATGAGCTAGTGAGAATCAGATGTACTACAGTTCTAATAATCAGGGTGAGACTAACTTGCTTAGCATATTTCAGTGGCTAGGTGCCCATTTTAGAAGAAAATATAAATTCAGTTTTTGTATAGTTGAAGAGACTACATGAAAATATTCAAGAACTGATATACTGAAAGAAATCGGATAATAGTATATATATTGTGTGAGTAAGATGTTAAAATATATTGCTGTCAGCTGCTTTTGTCTGGCTGGTGACCAGCCATACATCCTAATGGCTATAATAAGGTATATATATATATATATATATATATATATATATATATATATATATATATATATATGACAATTTGACAAGGAGCTCCTTGAGTAAAATCTTAGAACTGAAGGAGTTTGCATGGTTTCAACCTCATTTTCTATTGATCTGACAACTGCTGCCAAGTATTCAGGATCCTGTTGCTGTAGAGTATCTATCCCTGGGCTTATTCTCTGGCTTATGACTGGAGGGTAATTTAGGAGAAAGGGAGGAAGTGCATCTGGAGGGTCACAGACAGTCAAGGGTGTGTGAACTTGGATATAGCTCAGCCAATAAATTCACAACAACATTACCATGATTTACACCAATCTGGCCCTTTACTGGTCAACTTCTTGCTGGTCAGTAAATACTGCCACTTTGATCAATGACATATAATTCATTTGGTCAGTTGTAAAATAGTGAGCAGTCTGTGGAGATGGCTCCAGAGAGAGAAAGAGAGAAGAATGGAGAATAACTTTTTTGGTTAGACAAAAAAAAGCATCATTTTGAGTTTGTTTTATCATTGAGAATTAAATATAATTAAGTAGTATATTTTATATGCTTGTGACAATGCACACATCATTAGGAATTTTAGTTTTGGGAGCCAGGGTATTTTGTCTGTTTTGTGTTGACCAGGTCATACATGTGATGTAGATGTTCCATTTATTTAGAATTCTCTCTCATATATCCATACACACACACCTTAATAGAGGGTGTACTTAGAAGTAAGCACCTAGCCCTTATAGATATATATATATATATATAGGAAAGGTGATAAAGGGAAAAAGCCTGGGGGTAGATTAATATTTGGATAATTTGTATAATATTAATCTACACCCAGGATTTTTCCCTATATCACCTTTGCTAACAGAATCACTACTCTCCCAAGCAAACATGCACAAAAGAAAATGGTTGAATCCGTCAGCACAACAATAAAAACAATATTTCCAGACATAACAGTACTTGATATAATTTTCAGTTGACAATATGAATACAATAGCATTTTTCTAAATTCTTCTAGTTGCTAAGGACATTTTGTCTTGTTGTTAATAGTTACTTTGGTTTAATAAATTCATTTTGTTTTTCCTTGAAAAAGTCCACATTGGATGAAATGAGTCAGCTAATAATACAATTTTCCTATTGTCTTTTTTTTTTCAGGTTAACTTTGAGAAATTTTTCGTTATATATCTATCTATCTATCTATATATATAGGCATCTATCTATATATATATGTATATATATATAGGCATCTATCTATATATATATGTATATATATATATATATATCTATATATATATATATATATATATATATATATATATATATATATATATATATATATATATATATATATATCTCTCTCTCTCTCTATATATATATATATATATATATAGGCATCTCTCTCTCTCTCTCTCTATATATATATATATAGGCATCTCTCTCTCTCTATATATATATATATAGGCATCTCTCTCTCTCTCTCTCTCTATATATATATATATATAGGCATATATATATATATATATATATATATATATATATAGGCATCTCTCTCTCTATATATATATATATATATATATATAGGCATCTATCTCTATATATATATATATATATAGGCATCTCTCTCTCTCTATATATATATATATATATATATATATATATATATATATATATATATATATCTCTCTCTCTCTCTATATATATATATATATATATATATATATATATATATATATATATATATCTCTCTCTCTCTCTATATATATATATATATATATATATATATATACATAGAGAGAGAGAGAGATAGTTTACTTCAATGTTCACTTTTATATTTATATACACTCTATCTTCGATATTGAGCACTTTATCCCATAAAAATAGCACACTTAGTATATTCTTTGTGTATGGATATATGAGAGTTTCTATTGTATTGAAATATAACTCTTAGATGACAATGTATGTCAGTATACCTCTCATTATCACTACCGGTCACTATATGAATCCAGGCAAAATCAACAATTTAAATGCAGATTTGCAAGGCAGATTCTCTCTTTCTTTCTCTTACACTCAGTATTTGGTTTCCTAGGCTTAAGGCCATATCACGTTTATACAGTTTCTCATAGGATCACCAAAGTTAAGCAATGTTGAGCTTGGTCACTACTTAGATGGGTGACTGCCTGGGAATACCAGGTGTTGTAAGCCTGGATGTGAAGGTGATGTAATAGATAATGGCTTGGAATTGTCAATTGGAGAGTCAAGTTTCAGTTTTAGTTGGGTTTGGTATATTCACTTATGCACAAATACCCTTTTGAAAGTTCTAAATACACCTCTTCTCCCCCACTTATGGGTTAATTAGTAAGACCTATATTAGAAAATTATTATCTACCAAAATTTCTTACAATCTAAAAATATTTTATGGCTTCAAATAACCTGCAAAAAGTTGACAAAACATAAAAAAATTATCAGTCAATCAAGCAGATAAGAATAATTATTTTAAATATTTATACCTATTTAGATAAATAATGTAAAAGGGTGTGTGCATATGTATACAGGGTGTATCTAAAATACTTTTACAAGCTTTGGGGAAGGTTCCTCACACCAAAACAAGGACAAAATTAATATAAAAATATGTCTGCAAATCCTTTGTTTTGAATTAAGTTTAAAGAAAGTTTATGGTATCCAAGTTAGGAACCAAAAACATTTCAATCAAAGAAGACTAGCTGAACAAATGGTAATAGCAGCTATAAAAAATGCCTGCCATAGGATAGATGCAGCACAACTCCATCCTGTCTGGATCTCTCTGCTCCAAAGAAAAATATGATATGACAAAAAAGAATGGCAATTTGTAGAGTAAAAACAAAATTCTATTCTTTTTTTTTTTTTTTTTTTAACACCTAAACTTGCGCTTATGTTGTAAATGTCATCAACTCGTTTTTTTTTCCTTGATTTGAATTCTTAAGTGTTTCTAGTTTCTTTGCACTGTTTTAGACAAAGAGTGACCAAGACTGGCAACTGCTAGTTGAAATATTTCCATAAAATAAATCATTCTACAAGTTTTTTCTTTTAATTAAAGTTTATGGCAGATGGCACTCTGTTGCCGTGTAGACTAGGTTAGATTTGTTATTCCTGTACATTTGTTGCTAGTCTATCTTCAATATGAGTGTTAGATTGCATTTCCAGACTGAAGGCAGCCAAGTCATCATTTTGCTGCTGTTTATCATTGCGTTGCTGAGACTGGATCCATGGCACCAACTATGGATCAGAGAAGACAAAGATCCACTCATATGCCTGACCATGAAGAAAACATTCTACAAGCTGTTGGAAATGAACCAAGTATCAGTACATGTCAAGTTGCCCTAGCATGTCATACATCTCATCATAACACATAGAGGGTACTTCAAGAGCAGCTCCTGTATCTGTATCCAACAAGTGCAAGGTCTTTCGCACTCTGATCGCTAAAACCAGAACTTTTTATGAAAGTTTATTGCACAAATTGCAAATTTGTTTGTCTGTTCAGTCTTGTTTATGGATGAGGCAACATTTGTGGGTGGTTCAGAATACAGGAGAGAATACAGCGTTAGTTTACAATTAATGTGTGGGATGGAATTGTAGGTAATTGTCTGGTAGGTCCATATTTTCTCCCAGCATGCCTTGCAGGAATTGTCTACAGGTATTTTATTTCAAACACTCTTCCAAACCAGCTAATGAATGTACCTCTGCTAATAAGAAAATACTCAAAAAATGAAGGATTCCTGGATATGTGTTTCTGTAGACTACAAAAGTCTACAGAAACACATATCCAGGAATCCTTCATTTTTTGAGTATTTTCTTATTAGCCTTATTTTGGTGTGAGGAACCATCCCTAAAGTTTGTAAAGGTATTTTTGATATACCATATATATATATATATATCCGCACACACACACACACACATCTGTACACAAACACATGGTAGACTCTGTCTAAATTGTTTTGACTGAGCAGTTTAGAACTGAACCACTAGACTACCCATACATATTTCACCCCAAGCAAGGTGATAATGCTTCTAAGATATAGGATGGACAGTGAAAGAGAATGAGAAGACTTTGGTGAGGAGAAAGGACAATAAAGGAACAGAATTCAGGAAGACAGAGTGTGGTGATTGTTGTCGCATTTAAATTTTTAAAGATTGTAGGTGGCAGAGAAACAAGAAATTGGATGTGAATTCCACAGGCAAGAAGTGCAAGGAAAGAAACTGTTAGAATAAAACAGATTCATCTAGCTAGTACAACAGTTAGATGGTAAGAACTAGTTTCCAATATAGTAGCACACTTAAATTCATGTAATTGAGGCACGAAGGAGGAAATCACATCAGAGCTATCACCATGAAAATATTTGTAGAAAGGAAAGAAAGTCATGTCATGGTGATGAGAAAGTGACTGAAGTCAAGATGCCAGGTCAGAACTGGTTATATTGCAGATCCTGCTTTGAATTTTGTCAAGAATCTCTAGATGTATAGGAGCACCTCCAGGTCAAACATGGCAAGAGTATTCAGTGCATGGACAAATGTTAGATTTATAAATGTGAAAGATGGATTCTGATGAGAAAAATGAATGTGGAAAGAGATATCTATAGGCACTACGGTATGGCCAGAGTTTTCAAGAGGACAGAACTGCAGAGTATGATATGGGGAAGGAGGTAAGGAAGAGATTAAGTAGAGAAGTTTGTTCATCAGTTACAAGGAAAATGTGTGTGTGTGTGTGGGGGGTCTACTATTTGAGTAAGAGATTGAGCAACTGAGAAATTCAAAGTCTCTATGCCATTACGATCAAAGGCATTAGAGTGATGAAGCCATTTGATGGGCATTGAAGTCACCAAGCACAAAAATATTTGCAGACAAGTATAGAAAAGAGCCTTATGCAATCAGAAATTCAATCAAGCAAGAAACAATCATGAGAGGAAGGGAAACAATAAATGAAGAAGAAATAACTGACTGAGTTTAATAGTGAAAGTCAGAAGTACATATTGGAACAATCCAGAGATGCAAGGGAGAGTTCCCTTGTCAATGAGAGATATTTGCAAACATAGATACCAATGCCATGCATGTGGTCCCTGGAGTCCTTTCAAAACAAAGGAAAATAACCAAGAACTGATTGCAGTGTTTAGATTAGTTTGTCAGAGAGCTTGGATGTCTGGATACTGTTCCAAGAGAAACAATTCTACATTTCAGAACTTAGTGCAAATATCCTGAATGTTGGAGAATGAAAGGTTGAGGTTCTTAGTTTTTTTTTGCAAGCTGTTTTAATTTTATTTTGTTTATTCGTTTTGGTCACGCTATAGTTTTAAGATGGAAAAGGCCAAGAATAATAGTAGCCGCTGGTCACCAAAGACTGGAAACTGTCACAGACTGCAGCATATTGTAGCTTCCGTATGGCCCACTGGAAATTCTTGCAGTGATGTCTATACATGTGTGATATGGCACTACAAGAACCTTAATATTTTGACTGTTGATTAGTGAAGCTTCTCTAAGCATTACATGAGATTTCGGGCTCCTTACTACCATTCAACCAGAAAAATGCCAATCTGGTAGTAAGGGTTGTAGCCTTCAGCCAGTCATATCACCAAAAAATGTCTTGTTGCTTCATAACATATGAACATGGTTCCCCACAGTTTCTTTTTATTTATCTGTGAATTGAAATGACTTTGTTTTCTATTGCCTACATCACTGTCTTTAATTCAGAGTAATTTTTCTTATAGATTGGCTGTCACCCAAGGCTAGAGAACTCAATCTACTCTGCTATTTAACCCATAGCTGAGAGAAGAAATTCATGCCTTTCCTAAGAGCATTAGTGTAAAAATGGATGCAGTAGACTAGGCTGGAATTTAGATATGGCTTGCTGATATACTTTTCATTTTATGCTACTTACACATCAGTATTTTCACTCATGTATCCATACTGTCACAAAGAGACCATATTACTTAAGTAATTATGGAATTGCATTGTACTAATTAAATACTAAACACTTTAGTACTCTTCATGTTGATTTTCAATACTTTTAGAATATTAAACTAAATAAATATATAAACAGATATTGCATTTTATATATGGGGGATATGGAGGTGTGTTGAAAGGTTTATATCCTGACTAAAAAGTTATTTCAAAATGAAGTATGTTTAGTCATTTGGCCAGCTTTTGGGTAGGGGTTTTGGCTCCAAAAATTTCAGGACACTTTGATAATGTCTGTGTGTATGCACATGTGCAGGCTACATGGTATATAATTGCACCATTGCATGAATATATTATTTAACAAATAATTCTATATGTATGATTAATTTGGGTTTAACTTAATTCTGTATTGATCTGCTGGTAGTATTATTAACATGTTATACAAAGATATTGGTATTTAGTTAGTTTTTTTGACATTTTACATTGATTGGTTAATATTATTAACATCTTACATGGATAATGTTTATTACCAAATAATTCTATATATTTAGATTATTTACTAGTTTCTTAAAGAGGCCTCTGATTTATCAACTACAAAAAATTTTATATAGGAAATACACAAAACATATAACTAGTTTGGCATTCGGCTAAATTACCTCTCTAAACCCCCACTTTTATTTCTTATGAAGTTAATTTTATGTAACCGTCTGTATTGGTCTTTAAGTTAATGTCTAGCTGCTGTTAGATGTCAAATATTTGCCATGAGACATTTCTAAGATAATAATTTCTATGTTTTTTTTTGTTTAGTTTGAATTTAATGTAGGTCTTATTCAATGAGTTGATGAGGATAAATCCCCCAAGCCTACATTTTTTTTTTTTTTTTAAAGTATACGTTTGTTTTTGAAACCAAATTGTTCACTCACCAGTAATTTACAATCGCCTGAGGAGATGCATTGTTATGCATTGAAACATGACTGCAATTGTGTAGTGATTCTTACATGTTTTTGTTGCAATATCCTAAAATAAATAAATATATATAGTGTGTGTGTAGGTACCAACTTGTGCAAGAATATATAAGCAAAACAAAAAGTATATGTTGCTTGTTAGTTTAGTAAGTTTCTAGAGTGTACATTACACTAATGTGTATCATTTGTGTTTGTCTTTTTTCAATGTAATGCAGGTGTAAATATATAATTGTGCAAGTCCTCAGTTGGTCATCATCAATGCTTACAGGTTGTCCTTTACAAGAGGGAGATCTGAAATGTGTTTTAGTTTT